GAGAGAGAGAGAGAGAGAAAAAGAAGAAGAGAGAGAGAGAAACGGAGAGGGCAACCTCCTCGTCCCGAACCCTGACGAAAGAAAGAGATGCCGATGTCGCTGAACGGAGGTGGTAATAGGACGATCCTGAGTGATGCATCTGTGTTGCAGGCTGTTGTTTCCGCGGGATTTGTCCTAGCAGTTCTGCACAAGCCATTCGGTACAGCTGAGGTTCTCGTGGCACAAACCTTAGGGGGAACCTTTCCTGCCAACGAAAAGCGGGTGTGCGTGCGCACACGAGGGGAGCAGCTGGACCACTGTTTTCCCCATGCCCTGCCGAGAGAGAAAAAGAGACCTAGCCCTGGCGAAGATCGGGGTGGGCGCTTGCGCCTGGGGTGTTTCGAGGGCTTAAAAATGCCAGGAAGCCTGCAAGCCAGCGAGAGTTTGAGCCGTCAATCTTACACCCACCGAGACACAATTCGATCACATGGTGGGCATCCCTTATGGCTTCAGGGGGTTCCGGCAAAGCCGTCCAAGCTTCATAGGCATAGATGCGAATCCTTCTGCACCTAGCGCACCCCAGCGCTAGGCCGCTAGGCCCGTAGGCGTTACTGTAGTTATCGTCCTTCGACAGCGTTCATGTGTCTTGCAATTCTCCTATATTTTGGCTGACAGAAAGAGAGACGGACACACCGGGGTTCGCCCCTAGGCTTTCCTTGCGAAAGGAGGATGGGCATGCCGAGAAAGAGAGAGGGACAAACACACATGCTGCTCAAACACACATGCTGCTCATGTTGACGGGAAGCTCCAATGTGGTGTTCGTACATCAGGAGTTGGCTGGGTCGATGCCGGTGGAGCAGACGCAGGTCGTAGTTTTGTGAAGTCTTGCAGTTGGAATGTTGACCCATCCTAGCGGCTCTGTGACTCCTGTGTTTGCACTATCATGCGAATCGGGGTTATGTCGAAGCAAAGAGAGCTGTGATTTGCCCACTTGCTGTCGCTCGCACGAGCTAGGCGAGAGTCTTTCAAGACACATAGTATAGGATGGTCTGCAGGCAAACCGTGTTCAGCACGACGTCATCCCTGGCACATGGAATAAACACACCTTGTATCTAGATTCTTGGTTTGAAATGCAAACCAATCCTTAGCAAGGTTCCGGGCCGGAAGTGAATCCTCCTGTCTGCTGCATGGTCAGTTCCCCGAAGCTAGCTCACTGCGTTGCGTGTCAGCTCTCCCGCATCTTGGATGGTGAGAAGGGCTTTCAGCTGGAAGCTTGGTCTTTGTGTTGCTCTCAGTGGCACCCTGACCGCGGAGCTGCTTCAGGTTTACCTTACGGGCGCGAGACCCCCTGGAAAAGAACATGTCGGGCACTTGGTGGGCCCTACGTGTCAGGAGAGTCTGTCTGCATTATCGTCGATAATGTAGGCATCCATATCGGCCCATCCAAAGGGGACAGTCTGAAGCTTCCCACACCATGCTGCGGATACCACCGTTTAGATGCTCGTGAGCAAGCACCCAAGCAAATTCCCAGTCAGCCCAGAGCATGCATGAAGCATTACAAGGAAGCGATTCCAGTACTTGAAGGCCTGTGGCCCTGTCCTGTTAGTTTGACGGGTTGGCATGTCTAGAACCCAGCATCCCCTGAAAGGACAGAGGATGGATCGATGAGCAGACGCTGTCTCTGGAGACGAAGGCTTGTGGCTGCATGCCCTATTGCTACGAATCAGATCAAGTTCAAGTGTTGGAGTCTTCCCCGTCGCCTCGTCCGACAGCTTGATTGTCGACGAGCACCGCAACCCCCCTGGACTGACACTGACTAAGTGACAGGTAGTGGCCTTCAACTACCAGCTCGTGGCGACCCTTCAATTGGGGGAAAGAAGGCTTGCAAGCTGTTTCTGTCTTGATGCCGTGGGGTTGTCGAGGCCATCCCTCGGTTGATCAAAGTGCAGTTCAAGTTCTATTTCAGCTCCTGGCCTACTGCAAGGACTTTGTTAGCTGTTAGCTTTGCATAGCAGAAAAGCCCTCGCTTGTGAACTAAACTCCTACTCCCGTCAAACAAGGTCGTGGGGGAGGTGTGTATACCAGGCAGAACATCGAGGCTTGCTCTTTTTCTGCATGCATCTGATGTACGGAGCTGCAAGGCCTGCTCTACATTTCCAGGTTGCTACTCTGAAGACCTGGCCGCGGCACAACCGCGCCCTGCTCCTCTTTGTGGACATCGTTTTCTTGTGCATGTGTGCCTAGGCTATTCAGGTATCTGCAAGCCTCTCAGCTCTACTTAGTGCCTCTCGCACTGTTTCGGGCTTTCAGGCTTAGCATCCACGGCCTTTATGGTGCTCGGCTTAGCCTTTGAAGGCAACGCAGCCACAGCACTCAGCTGCAACTGAGGCCCGTGAATTCTCGAAAGACATGAAGGCACGGACTATGACATGACATATTGTGATGCAATCTATGACAATGGTTTGGTGACGCAAGCAGTTTCAAAAATCGAAGCATTCATCTATGCTGCCGTAATTCGTGATGAGTTGGAAGTGTAAAGAAGTATGTGTCGGCACAGGCAGGGAAGATATTTGGCCACTTCAACTTGATCAACTCCATTACCTGGCTCAGTTGCTTGTTTGGCTTCACCCTTAGTGTGATTGAAGCCTGCCACCCCGTGCAAGCATGCCGTGAACAATTCGGCACTCTGATATGTTTGTTTTGATCTTCCCTTGCTCAGTTTCTCTGATGTTCCATAAGATCGATTAGTGACTGCCGGGGATACCACTTTAGCACAGCCGTGAAGTCGCGCTTTTTCCGACTGGTAGACATGCAGATGTCGGCGCTACAATTGCTTATCAACCATTGCTGCTTTGGTGGGATTCCGGGTTTCCGAGCTTCAAGAACCTGGTTGGGCTGCATTGATGCTCATGCTGGCTGTTGGGAGCGGTTCAACTTAGGAGGACCGTCAAAAGCACTCTGAGGACAGCTGCTTGGTTGCTGCAGTCCCTGCCAGCCGCTTGTGAATTCTTTACTGGTATGTCCGAGCCAGAATGGTTACGTGCGTAAATCGGGCCGCACCTCTTGGAGCGTGATGTCTGTATGTCAGTGGCTAAGCACTCATTAGCCTTTGGCCAACCTCAGCCTATTCAGCATTACTCGAATCTGTTTAGTCCAGTGGCTGAGCGTGTCTGGCACCAGGAAGGCCATCAAAACATCCCAATCTAGCTCGCATCCGATCCTGCTTGGCGCGAGTTCTGCAAAGCAAGAAAAGACCTGACAGTCGAATGGACGGAAGCCATCTTGACTCCGGCTCAGCCTTCCCCGGCTTCAACCAAAGCGAATTTCCCCCCTCTTCACACCAAAGGATGCAGACACCCCCTGCCCGTAATTCGGCGTATGTTGGGGCCAGCCGGGGGAGCCCCCTGAAACAGTACTGGTACTAGTACCCATAATAGTGATAGTAATAGTAATAGTAACAGTGTAGCAGTAGTAGTAGTAGTAGTAGTAGTAGTAGTAGCAGCAGCAGTAGTAGTAGTAGTAGTAGTAGTAGTGGTAGTGGTAGTCGTAGAGTAGTAGTAGTAGTAGTAGTAGTAGTAGTAGTAGGCGCCCCCCCCCTACCAACCACCTCTGCTGCCAACCCTCTTAAGAGCACGTTCGTTTTACTCGGTATTTACGGTACGTTCGTCCTGTCATACCACTTCTTCTTGCCTCAAAATCCACTCCGCGACTTTGATAAAT